GGAGATTTGGCTGAACCCCTCTGTAGTGACATATACAGTTAGAGATTTGGCTGAACCCCTCTGTAGTGACACATCTGGGTCTTCTCCCAAACACAAATGTTTAATTTTGTTTTTCATCTGTCACAGAATTCACGCACCCCCCAAAGGTGGTTGTACCATTTCTAAAATGCTGCCTCTTTCCATTTCTAAAGACACGACAGATAAAAACTGGCAACCATGTTTCCAAAAATCTATTTATAGTTCCCAACTTCCCTTGCCCGCACACCACCCCATAGGCCCACTGCCCCTCTGGCCCATTCATCAGCCAGGGAGGGATCTTTTCGTCTGGGGAAAAGCCTGTGTGTTCACGTACATGTAATAACTAACACTCTTTTTTGGGGTATTTTAATTTTCATACACCATGTAGGTATCTTCAGAGGTACATTTGGGATGGAGGACAGATTTTTTGCAGGGTCGGGGGAAGGGAATTGGTAATGGATGGGCGGAAATCCTGAATAAATTGACCCACTCCTAACCGCAACAGGCCCACATGATTCACATATCATGGGAAAATGCTGGATTTCCTCTTGGCCGATAGCCAGAAAGAGCGGAAAGAACACCATCAATGCTGTCATCAAAGTTGATAACAGTGACCTACATGTACATGTACTTCAACTACAAATTCTAAAGTCTCCACTGCTTGGCTGGAGTGACTGGTCAACCCAGTATACTCATGTACAGTGTCCCTTCAATTTTTTTCCTCCACATGTCCACTAACATAAAAAATCTATATTTGGCTCCCAAGGTCAGAATGGTAACCCAGTTATGAACAGGCACAGGGCAATAACAAGTCAAACACACACAGTGACAAAGGTTTGATGACAGCTTTTTACCCCCTGTGGGACTGACTTGATCAAGTGGCTTGTAATTCACAAGTCTTGTCCTTAAATACTAGTTTGCTAAAGGTAGTTAACATCTCCTTTTGGGGGAGATTGGAGCTACATACACTAGTATGTCCTGGCATACATAAAGGCACTTTCTTCATCCTTATGGTCCAATCAACAGAAATCCAACAGAATGTCAAATGCCACTACAAAGGAAATTCTGTATTACCTGTACATGTAGGTAAATCTTTCTATCCATCAGTTGAATGTAAGTACTGCTCAATGTCATTTGTTGAAACCAGCAACAACTGTGCAACTGTGACCACTTCACCTATCAAGGGTTTATATCATCCTACATGTACAATCAACAAATTTTATCAACATTCAAGTTTTATCTTGCTAGGCATTTATACACACAACTCCACAAGTTGTTCACTTGAATGTAACACCTGTTATTCAACAATGGATACAGCAATCAGTGCTTTAGCAGTTTATATGCTTCAGAATGATCAACTGAAGAGAGGCAGTCTACAAGCAATGTACATGTACAGTAGCCTATATGGCAAGTTTGGTTTGTTTTCTGATAAATACAATTCTTTTGTGCTTAGCAAAAGTTGGGACTGAGGAGGAGCCCCTTGCTTTAAAACCCCATCTCCTTGGAAATTCAAAGCTGTTTAAAGTTTTACACACAGACTGCTCCATGAAATGACAACCTCCCTCTGCATCCTTGCTATACAAACTGATGCGGTTGACATGCAAGTCGCATTATGACTCCTGAGCACATTTCCATTTCATTTACAGAAATATATTAAATATAAAATGTCACCTTAAAATTCTGGGCAAGTTGGACAATTAAACCAACAGTACTTGGCACATACAACAGCTAGAGCAGCTTAATATGATGCAAAACAGAAAATGAAAATCAAACACTTATCATTAAGCTCAAAACAGAGCCACTGCTTTCAGAATTTCCTACATGAACAAGCACTAGCTAATTTTTAAAAAGTACTAATTCTGCACTTTAAATTAAATGCTGCTCAAAGCAGCAGTTTCTTCACTTAACTCAGTTTTACTTATTTCAGTCATTCTGGTATCAGTTTGTTCATCTGAAAGGATACACACATCAAACCAGAAATGAAAAGCTTGAAGGGATCAAGTTTTACCTTTGTCTTTGGGTAACTAAAGGACTGAAGTACGGTACCATAAGGTCACGTTTTGCTCACCAGAAATATGCAGGTTGTTTTTCACAAAGCAAAACTTTGGAAGGTGCATGTACAACACAGATGAAGATGATTTACATGTACTGTGTAATTCTTTTTTCTTGCATGAGATAAAGAAAGTCTCAGACCTTGACTAAGAAAATGTAAAATGGCAAACAATTTCGAAGCACAGAATTTTTAAAAGCTCAAAATGAAAAGAGCTTTATATGCTGGTTAAACGAAGTTGAATCTTGAGAACTTCACAGAATGTTTTTTTTTATAGTGATACAAAAATGAGTGAGAAAATACTGCACCCAAGTGATCTACATCATAATGCAGAAAAAAGAACAAAATTGTGTCTCTGTCATTTTCAATGATAAAGAAGTTTCATACTTTCTGAAAGACCCTGAATGGACACATCACTCAGAAATTGACATTGTAGTTGGTCTGTGATTGAGTACCCTGTATCATTATTGTTGGAACTTAGAATGCAATATTGGCACATACTGGCAACTTTCTTGGCCTGCTCGGTGGCTAACCACTGTTGTAAGGCCTGGTCTGGGAAGCTGGTTCTATGCAGAAGGTCAGCAGGTGGGCCCCACAGCAAACACTGCAACATGTTAATGGCTCGACTGGCACTCAGACGGTCCGATGACTTCTTTCGAAGGAGCTCTCCAGCAAGCCGGCTCAGACCTTGGGAGTACCTGGATCTCGTCGGGATAGGCGGCAAGTGGGAGGGCTCATACTCCTGGGTGATCAAACTTGTCTTGACGGCAAACGGGTTTGTCTGATGGAGGAACTCATACACCAGGAGTCCGACGTCGAATTCAGCAATCTTCTCATCCAGCTGTTCTGGTGAGCCATAAATGTCTCCAGGATGGCCCTCCTCAGGTTCTCGCCGGAGGTGGCTCATGATAGCGTTGATCTGCAGCAACAATCCCCCGCCTGGCAGGCCTGAGTCAACAAGCAACAAGTCATCCGGTTTCAAACTCCTCAGACACACCCGGTGCATCTGCAGGTGCTGGAGACCTTTGAGCATCTGCAGCAGCAACAGGGTGATGTCCTGCTCATACCTCTCTGGAAGGTACTCATGCATCTCCTTCTTGTGGCTCACGTAGTTCCTCATGTGGGTGACTGGTGCCTTGTCTGTCATGACCACAGCTGCTTCTGTGCTCTCTTCATTTTTGCCGTCAGTTATCTCTGTTGGACTGACTTTTGATTGATTACCGGCCATCTTGACCAAGCGATGTGGAACTGACTCAATGGAGGCATGGCAAATATTTAAGACATTAGGATGAGTTGATATGGCTCGGATGCACTGGGCAATATGAAGGACGACAGGTGCTTTGCTGACATCTGTACTGATCTGAAAATAGTAAGCACACCTAGACATCAGCATACTGCCTGTCATGATAAGTTCAACAAGATATGATCAATATGGACTTGAATCACTTCTTTACTTGAATTGACTTTTTCAGAAGAGTCGGTTGTTTGATCTACATGTACTATTAAACTGGTTGTTTCTGTCTTATGATTTTCAAGAGTAAAAATGTCGGGGGAAGAAGGCCAAACATTCTCACAGCTGGAGGTGTCATAAATCTCACAAAATGTATTGAGGATGATAAAGAGAGGGAATAAGCTGGCTGCTACATTTAACTCATCAAATTTAATTGACAGCTGACAATCACCCCCCCCCCAAGAAAGAAAAAAGGACTGCACAATCTACCATACTTACCAAAACGGCTGGGGCAGACTTTACTTGTTCAGCATGGGTAACCTTATAGAAAGCTCCATCGGGTACCATACAGCAAGGCTGATCATCAAGTTGGAAGTCTTCCCAGAGTTTTGTCATAGTTGGCTCCACTTGATCGATCCCATCATGCGCTGGTGCTGCTACAGCCAGTTTGGCCAAGGCCATCCTGTTGATGTCAAGTATGTCCCTGCAGATGCTAGGATTTCCTGTCAATTTGTCAGATTCAGCCTGTCTCTCCACAGGTCCTGTCCACACACACTGTGTTTCAGCATCAGCCGTGAACACAACTGAAGTGGCCAATGTCTTGCCGTCAGAGGTTCCTAGTCCCCTCTGTTTGATTTCTATGTTGCTGTAGATGTTCACAAATGAAGGCTCCTTATCCGTGCTCTTCTGAGGAGCGATGATCCTCACAGGACGCTTGGGTTGAGAGTGGGCATCACCCTCTGCCTTCTTGGTTTCAAATGAGCCTGGAGCTTTGAGGGCTGATTTCAGAGGGGATGTTCCAGCTGATATGACGGGTTGAGTACCAGGCAGAAAGTCGTACACAGTTTTGGCAAAGTCTGGGTCAGAAGATGACTGTCTCATGATGGCAGGGGGTTTAATTTCCAACTCTCTTTGGGACGGTAGGTTCTCGAAACCAGTGGTCATGTTGCGCCGTCGACGCTCAGGCTTTGGGGGAGCAGCCCTTTTCTGTCTCTGACGAAGTATTCCTATAAAAAAGAAACAATTTTTATCTGAGCTCAATCAAAGGAACTTCTCTCCCTGTGGTGACTTTCAACTAACAAATATTCACCCTTTGAAATTGGTGCATCACATTGACAACTTTTATCCATGGTTCCATTTTGTAAGTATTGGTATGTTTACGTCAATCACTGTTAATATGTACATAAAAGTGCAAATAAATACATTTCCATCTTCCATTATGAAACATTTCGAAACAAAAAACTGTTTGAAAGTTACATTATTAAATGCGACTACCCAACAGTTTGTTGTGTGTATACATTTTCAATAGTTTGTATCCCCAAATAGCTGTTCAAAGGGTGAAGATTTTAATCTAATGAGCCAGAGAACTCACCTGTATTTTCATATTGCACCTTGGTGTCGCCGTCACTCGCTCTCCTTTTGCTTCTTGGTGACATAGTCAACCCTTTCTGTAAGTGTAGGAAGTCCTCCGTGGAGCCACTGGGTGAGTCTGAAGTGCCTCCCATCCAACTGGCTGGCCTGTTTGATGTGGGTGGCTCAGGAGCTCTTCGCTTGCTGGAGGAGCTAGCACGCATTCTGATGCCTGAACCGTCTGAGTCATCACCGTTTTGCTCTGGGGACGTACTGAGGCTAGGTGTCTGCAGATCCGAGTGATCGATGTAGGCCGTCAGTTCCCCCTTGTAGGCATTGATGACCTCCATCCTGTCCATAGAGTTCCTCTGGGCATCGTCTTCCAACCTCAATCGATGGACACCCTCCAGCCATTTCTCTACAGCCGTGGCATCAAATTCCCTCTCGGGGCTCCCGCGGTCATCTTTTTTCCTCCGTCGCCGCCATGGCAACTTAGACCGTTTGGACTTGGTCTCTTTGTTGTTGGGACTAGGGTGTGGGGAGCTGTCTGGTAACTGCCCAATGTCCAGACGAGCACAGGGTATTGGAGGTGACATGGACCGCGGCAAGGAAGACCACTGAGGCATACATGCATCTACTGCATTGGGAGAGGAATGAGCTCCTTTTAATTCAGAGTAAGATTTCCTTTTCAATGTGGGGCTTTGTACCTTTCCCTTGGTTGTATATGGCTGCCTACCTTCAGGGGATTGAGCTCTATGCTGTGTGGTAGGAGAACATTGTTTAGGACTACTTTGAACTTTACAACTGGAAGTAACCTGCTGTAACTTGGATGGACTAATACAACTCTCATTCAGAACAGCCTTCACAGAGTTTGGTTTACGATCCATGGCTTCATAAATTGATTCCAGCAGAGCTTCATTTGGTGGAGATGGAGCTGGAGATTTTCCTACTCTGCCAGGGGATGCCTCAGAGAGATCCTTCTCATTAGGTTGTTGTGTTGCTTTTCCTGGGGGAAGAGGTGCAAGACCACGCGGCAGAGTATCAGGCAGGACATAGATAGCCTCTTGGTTGTCCCCGTTAGGTGGCTGAGGAGCCACACGCTTCTGCTTGGCTTTCCCAACATCAGTGCTGGACCTGGTGACTGGGGAAGTGGACTTCTTACGCTGAACGTTGACCTTGGCATAGAGAGGTTCCTCACCCAGCGGGTGTGTCTTGGACCGCCAGCGGGACTCTGGGCTTGACTGTGAATTGTTGGAGTTTGGCTCCTGGAACCGTCTGGGTTTCTTGGGCTGGCTCTTGTGCTTAATTGGGATGGCTGGCTTGGCTGGCCTCTCCTCTGCTGCAGGTATATGTACATGCAGCTGAGTCTCTGAGCTGGTCCTAACAGGTGGGATGGGTGGGGTTTCCTTTTCAACCTGATTCGCCTCTTTTATTGGACGGAGAGGGGTCAAGTATCCATAATTCCCTTCTCCACTTGTTCCTGGAGTGCCCTGTGACAGATCGGTCATGGATGACTCCCTATCTGACAACACCGTTCCCACATTGTCATAATTCTTGGGACTTATGAAAATTGGGACTTTGTAGTTGGATGAGTTGGAGTGTCTCCTCTTGTCTGATTTCTGACTAGTTTCTGATTCACTTTCTGATAAGAGAATTGGTAAGGGTGGTGTGATTTCTCCATCAGCTAGGCTAAGGGGAGATTTCACATCTTTGTTTTCAGCAGCATTTACATTTTGCTTGCTGAACTGCACACTGTCTTTCATGGCATACATGCCATCAACAAGGGCAACTTCACGCTTTGGAAACTTTACGGTGGATTCTTTGAATTGGAAAATGTCTGAGGACGATGAATCCTGCCCTGAATCGAGACTGGTATTCAAGTCAGAAGACTTATACTTTGGGGAGGGACTAAGGGGAAGTTTGGGGTATGCAGGAATGTCAAAGTCTGGTGGATGCTCTGGCGGCTTTTTTGACACATCCACAACCTTATAGGGTTTGGTGAGATGCTTCGGAGGAGAAAGTCTGGTTACTTTCTGAGGACTGATGGGATCACTGCTCTCAGTTTTTGTCTGTGCTGAGCCTCTGTAGTGAGACACACTCCCGTCTGCAGCCACGATCATCACTGGTTTCTCAGTGTGGTCTAAGAATGTCTTGATAACTTCCTGTGAATGTTCATTTAGCTTTGGGCCTCTTTGCCTGGGGCATGAAGAACTAGTTCCAAAGAATATCTCAGAACTTATCTTGCTGCTTGTGACCACTTGCTTCTTGGCTGTCAGATCCTCACATTTGGAAGATTCAGAGGTGGATATAGACACTACTTGCATCTCTTCCTTCTCAAGAGGCAGGAAAATCTCAGGATCTGATGCCTGACGCTGATGTTGGCTGCCGTTCAGAATTGCTGGTCTCGGATCCACAGAACCCAGATTTCTTGGCAATGTACCATGCTTACCCTGACCTGAAAAAATTTGGAATGCTGTACTGGCAAGTTCATCTGAAGTCTTGGCCTCGATAGTCCGCTGTCTCTCTTCAAGGTCTAGTCTGTTAAACTGTGGACTGGTGTCACTGTCAGAAACTGAGAGACTTCTGCTCACTGCCCGGCAGTGATTTCCATTCAGTTCGTTCAGATCCAGATTCGGATTTTCAACATGACGGAGGTTCCTTGCAACTTCTTGGAATTCTTGAAGCATTTTGGAATCTGACTTTGATCCCCTGATGGTTTTAGGAATTGGAATTGCTGACTTACGTGATGCCCGGAGTGCCTTAAGATACTGTATTCCAGCTTGATCCCTTGCACTTTGGAGTTTTTCACTCTCATTATTTCTACCATTTCCACTGTTTTTCCGAACCCTCAACAGCTCAGTGTCTCCACAATTTTCACTTCCACTATCCGACAACGAATCACATTCATCTGTGCTCTTTTTAACATCTGAAGCAAGACTGAGATCGTTCAGTGGCATCTGATCAATGGGGATGTTTAACTTCAGACCGTTTTCTCGTGATGACCACCGCAAACCAGCTTCCCTCGTCCTGCGAGCAGCTGATTTCTTTGGGATCTGTCGTCTTTTCCTCATATCCGCGTCATCTTCCATATTTGTCACCGAGTCTGGAGCATAATAATCAGTAGTGACCTCACCACTTTCATCACCAAGCAGTAAGTTTTTTCCGTTCATAGTCCACAACTTTTCATGCGTATGCTTGTCCTCATCCGAGGAGTCATCCAAGGAGCGCGTACCTTGACTGGTGTGGATATCCATAATGTGCACATGGCTGGTCTTGTTACCTTTCATGAACTGCTTGTGCTGAGCATGGGACTTGAAGCATCGACCACACTGCGTTGCCTTGAATCGATGCGGCATAAATGATGCGCATGCGATATTGCTGGGTTTATTATCTTCTTTCATAGTGTGAAGTCACTTCTTCTGAAATCTCCTCCTGGGAATCGGTGGATAATTCATGAAGCCTTCCTTCCTGTTATCTGATGCATACTGTACCTCCAATCTTCTTCAAGGGCTTGTCAGCATCATCTAAGACTGGAGAAAAAGGGGGCGAAAACCTTTTCTTATTGACAGTGTCAAAATCAATGAACTCAAGCAATAATTAATGCATACCACGGCAGTAACCATGGCAAGAGGTACATGTACATGTACCGTAATTACTCAAAAAAAAAACCAACTTGAAACGGTCCCAGAAGATTCCACAAATTAAATTTGTTCATTATACCGTACATGTACATGTATATTGCAGTACATGTATATTGCATTTCCTCTATGAAACATCAACAATATGTCAACTGATTGCTTGTCAAGATGAGGAAGAAATCCCCACAGGTAATTGCTATCAATCAGAAACCAAAAATACACGTCTTTAAATGAGCATGTAAATGTACGCTATGGATTCCTCATATCTCAAGAGAGATATACATGTATGTACCGGTACATGTACACTGTACATGTACATTTGATGCAATATTGAGAAGATGTATAGTGCATGTACATGTATGTATGGGAGAACTTCTACCCCACAATCTCGTTAGATGTTGGGTGGTGGCACATGATTAAACATAGCGGTACATGTACTGCCCCCCTCCAGAAAACAAGAGACCTCATAGTTCCCCCCCTCCCAAATGTCGCCCTGTGATGACACTTCAAGACAGTAAGTGTACTGGTATGGCACGAAGACTGTACTGTTGCCTTCCTTCCTGTTATCTGATACAAGACAGTAAGTGTACTGGTATGGCACGAAGACTGTACTGTTGCCAGACTGCAATAAGCCTTTTGCGAGTGACCTTTGAATAAAATCTGGTACAGCTTTGTTCTTGAAATTCACAGGAACATAACAATTTGAATTCTCCATACTAAAAACACTGTTGCTATACTGTTGCTATACCGGTACTTCGTGACAACAAGCTTTTGCTTCGTTACATCAGAGAAACCTTGCAACAATACATTATTCTCAATGGATAAGAAGGGCACAAAGGAACCAGTCTATTCCAGAGATGGTGGTCACTACGCAAAAGCTTGCCCCGAATCACAAGGTACAGAAACAGCGTCTTTAGTCTGGGGAATTAAAATTGTTACGTTTGTGTGCAATCAAATAACTCAGTGTACCAGATTTTATTCGAATTTAACTCGCAAATGGCTTATTCTTCGTAGCACACACACTGGAACATACATGTACACGTACCTGCACCGTCTATGCTTTGTACAATGAATCCACTCATTGGGAACTGTACCATGAACTACAAGATACCCGGTATACACAAGTGGTATTGTACATGTACATGTACATGTAGATGTTCATATGTATACATGTGTAAAGGATTACACTGTGCATTCTCATCAAATGTTGAATAATCCAAGCCTTCTTGTTCCCGGTCCATCCTTGGTGATATTCCAAAAATGGCAAAGTAAATATCCTGGTGTCCTGAAAAGCCTGCTCCCAAACTGTGACAGATACGGTATGCATTACAAACTGAGATATTATTCATCCTACTTTCCAGCTCTTGGCATGTTTGCACAAATATGACACCCTCCACACACTCAAGGCAAAACACTGACATCAACTCCTGTCAATATTTGAATTAATGCTTGGCTAGAGCAAAGGTCAACGATGCAGACAGAAACAAAACAGTGCAGGGTTTCTCCCCAACTGTTTCCCTGCTCATCAACATATTTGTTCCTGTACTTTTTGTGATAAGTCAGAAGTGCAACATGACATAATTTTGTGAGTCCTTTGAAGACAAAGTCAAATATTGGTACATGTACATTATGTGGGCTTGGGCTTGTAAACAAGAGAGAAAAAAACAATTGTATGGTACTTGTATCGCACATGTATGTATGTATCACATGTCTTTGAAAGAACCTAGAGACAGTGTCGACCACTTTTTGTGGTTTAATGGTTCATTTCAAACAACTGATTAATAGAATAAAGCCAATTCTTCATTTTTAATACTTTGACTGTTCCCTCTTCATCGTAGTTAACCTCCATTTCCTTCAACCAATCACCACATTTATCCTTGAACAACCTTCAACCTGCTACAAAAACAAACAAATTAACAATTGTTGAAATCTGAGCACCCATCCAAACACCGGTAACAAAGAAAATTATGCCTCAAACTCAGTGACAAAGAAATCAAAACAAACTATTTTTTCCTGTTGACAATGGAGCTCCAATCTCTCTCGTAATTTCAAATTGCTCCTCCTACATGTACTTCTCTGGGTGTGTTCCCCTCTATCAATACACCAATCCTTACACAGCTATACTTGTGGGGTATTTCCTTTGTTCTCGTGTAAAAAACTCCCGTGCACAACACGCAAAAAAATTTCAAATCACTCCAACCGGTATTTAAACCAAATTCACTTTCCTGGGTTGAAATTTTGACTGTATGTCCCTTATATAAAACACTTCAATTTGCGACAGATTTTTACCCATCAAAATTTCCCCTTTTTGAGTTATTTCCAAAGATCAGTTTCGTGAAATTCTTGTGGGGTACCAATTTTGGTACCCCACAAGGTAAAAACTGGCCTTGTGGGATACTTCTCATTGTTGCGGTACCCCACAAGGCCCCGTGTACCGTATAAGCGTAGCATTACCAACAAAATAAATGATCAACTACATGTATCATGAAATGATAACTGGCCTTTTCGTTTCATCCTATCACTTTGTATAACTCAGCTGATGAAATGATGACAATGGTAAGTCACCACAGAGCCTTTTCTCCAATGACCTTCGGTAATGTTGTACATAATGGGAGCTCAAGTTATTTGGAACCACAACTTCCGTGTTCAGGAACAAAAAGCTTTTATCTCTGAGAAACACCATGACAAAACAGAACAACATCCAGGGAATAAAATCCCACCCAAAGTCACAATAGCGACTTACATGTGCATGTAAACAGAACAACATCCAGGGACTAAAATCCCACCCAAAGTCACAATAGCGACTTACATGTGCATGTGTGTTTTTGCCCAGTACATGTTCATGTATGTACTGTATGTACGGTACATGTATTTAACCCTCATGTACACTGTACATGTAATTATATGTAGTAACAGAACTGGTACATGTACATTTATGTACAATGTAGCAGAATGTTAATTCACATGGGGAATGTTCTGAGATTTTATCATCAGATCATGAAAATTAACAGTTTCCTCCAGAAGCTGGAGCTATGCTGCAATCAAAATACATAAATTAAAACTGAACATGGTACAGGCTCACTTATACGTACAAGTACATGTACCGGTACATGTAGATTCAAAACTGTTTGTTGTACGATACCGCCCTACGTGAACACAGTGGGGCATTATAGACCTACATGTACATGTGATGGTACTGTTTAACAATTTATGTATGTAAGAGTAAAGAGAAAATTTAGAACTGCTCCATATATATCATTCCTTATAACAGTCAGTATGCTTGACTGTACAATGTATGTGGCTAGTGGAAGTTGCCAGCTACATGTAGTAGCTTCATTTCACCTCAGTGTAAGTTTGACTGTGGCTAGTGGAAGTTACCAGATGTTCATTTCCCGAAGCCTTGTCTCATTTTCAGCTGTAGCCAAGTACGGTACATTTTGGACATGGCCATTTCTAAGAGGGGTGCAATCAGTCCTGACAAATTTGACAGAACAGAGTATTCATGCCCAAGAGCCCTGAGACAAACAAATCAATGACCTGGGGTGACACTAAAGTCAACAAACTCTGTACTGTACTTGTACACACACATGTAGTCCTGTAATCTCCCTGAATTTACCAGTCTGGTTTGTTTTCACAGACTCAGTACTTACTGTAAAGCAGAAATTTGGGACTTGGTGATGATATGGTCATGGAAATTACTTTCTGAATTGTTTTCTTGAAAAACAAAAGATGAGGGGTGAATTTTTTTATCATAAAAACATATCTTCATACATTCCTCAGCCATGGTGGAAAGATGTATCAAAGACACCAAGTCAATGACTGTCAGGAACTGAGTTTCTCCCCACCTGAAGCCTGGGGCTCACAGTACTGACGGGATACACATTTAGTGATAAAACTTAGAAATTAAAATCTGAAAATACATTTATACAACTGATAAAATATAATTCATATGAATACATGTAATTTTGAGTCTTCAAACTCTGAAATCAACATTTTCTAGAAAAGTACAGTATTTATTTATGGAGGGGCACAGATTTTAAAGTGTGGAATTAATCAATGAGCATACATGTGAGTGAGAAATGCACATTCATCATTAAATCCTGAAAACTAAATTACTAATTTCCTTATTGTAAAAGTTTCCATGATGCAAGGTTATCTCAAACAGGTCACACACTTTCTCATGTCCCATTGGAAAACCCTCTACCAAGTTGTGCCCAATTTCCTGTCTGGTGGCCATGATAGAAACACTCATGTAATCCAGAGGGGTCATTATTCACTACATGTACCATACCTGTCACACACCAACCTTGACCTGAATGCACAAACCACCAGTTGGCACATCTTTCAAAATCTATAACTTCCATCTTCAGAGATGATGAGGCTATAAGAGCCTAGGGATGTAAAAGCGTCCAACACTTACATGTACCGTATGGTATATCCCCAAAGAGGATCCTCAGTCTTAAAAAAAGTCTTGTCAAGGTCCACATCACTTTTTCTCAATGTCAGAGTCAATTTGTACAGAACAACTCTACCAAGTATCTAACCTTGGGTTTGTCAGATCTTGAATCAACATCAAGGACATCAAATGCATAAAAATGACCTTAAAATCCTCGAAACGTTATGGAAAGTTTGAAAGCAACAGGATACATGCACATCTCTTTAACGTTAAAAAATGTATTCTCTATTGCCAGTTGATATCCAAAAAGCTTTTGGAAATACCATTTTGTTCAACTGCTCTATTAATTCTGCTTAAATCGCCTTTGCCAACAGCAACTCAGCATCCAAAAAATCCATGAGAGAGGTCTAAACTTTGAGGGTCTTGCAGAAATGTATTAAGTCCATTCTAATGGGGAAAACCAAGAATTTCTTGCTGCCCTGCATCTTTGAGTTAGTCATATTCTCTCATTAAATCATTTGAGAATTTGTGGTGACAGCTTCACGGTAATTTTGCTGGACCAAAGGTTAAATGATTAAGAGTCAGGCATACATGTATCCTTTGCCACTGAAAACGCCCAAAATGGCATTTTAATCAATTACTGAGGGGGGGGGTTCAGTGGTTACTTCAAAGATAGCCCCACAGGGCCTTAAGGACCTTCTCAAAACTGGAGAGTGGCAGATTCTAATCACCTCCTCAAGATCTTGGCTGTTTCATGAGAACTGAGTCATATTCTTGAAGCATGGCAAATGTGACGATCTGCCATGAGTACCAGTACTTACAAATCTTGAGATTTCAAGTCAATCTGACTGAGGGTTTTGTTATCACTGTACTCGTGTACAATGTATGTATACAGGTTCCGCTACCTCGCACCAAACATGTTCATGGAAAAAGTTCCTGGTAGCATACTGTTTTCTGCCCTGTTTTGGAGAAAAAGATACTCTCTAGGGAGAACAGTATGCAATAGTGTGAAAAAAGACGAGAGGAAAAACATCCTGGAAGTTTGGTGAGATTTATCATTAAAACAACAGTGCCGCCGTGACAGTGAAGAAAATGCATGGAAAAGGAAAGGTGGTCCCTGACCCCACCCCTTAGAGGCTTTTCGGTAACCAGATACTCGTGTTAGTTGAAAGTACTGTACCTACATGTACATGTACCATGCATTTACATGTACATGTATGTACACGTACCGTACTTTACACAGCACATGTATGTACTGGTACTAAACCAATTTATTCCATGCACGTTGTACAAATACGGTACATGTAATATAAAAATTCTGTTGATTTTTGTCTTTGATATAAAAATATATATGGAAAAATAAGTATTAGTACATGTACTTTGTTGCCACAATGGCACAACCTGGGGTGACAGCAGGTCACCTACCCAGGTCACCTACTGGAACCACTACCCTGGATAGGAAACAGAAGAAAACCCCAGACACCAGCAATGGCACTGGATGGGGGGCTACATGTATACCTGTAAGCACAATAGGCAGAGATAAATAGTGAGAGAGAGAGAGAGCGACAGGGGGTAGGCGATTGACAATAATGTACAGTAGCTACGGTTGCTTGGATGCGATGAAGTTCTCACAGTACAGATCAAGCAGAACACACTCACAATTACATTGAGGATAACAATAGTGGTTACCCATCCACGCATAAGTTTCAAAAATTTAAGCCAAGACAAATACATGTAGCTCACTGATACATTATGAAGGGTGTACATGTTCCGGTACATGTACTGTATACATGTACATGTATGAGACAGATCAAATGAAAGATTACTTTCCGAAGTTATGGGTCACTTTCTACTGGTAAATTTAAGGTACATGTACATACATGTACATTACCTACATGTACATGTATGCTGACAATGTGTTACTGGTACTGTACATGTCATCCAGCTTAATTAAATCAAGCACAACCAGTGCCAGTACCAGTGTGATTTACATTTAAACAAAATAAATTTAATGGGTTGAAGCTGTATAGATTCATATCACCCTGAACTTATGTACTCAATATGAATGAGGAAGGTTTTGATACTATCGATAAAAGCCTGTGTAACAAAGCTGGGCTGTTTATGAAACTCACCCCAGTTATTGTATAGAGTTCTTTTCACATTTCCTTTAAAATAGTATTGCTCTTCCTTTTCAGCAGACTTTATGAAGTGTTTAGCTCCTGTCCCACAAAAAGAATTCCTTGGATCACCAGATGCTTGGAATTTTTGCTATTTAACTTAGTTTCATTGGTGTGGTCTATTTTCAGTGGAAACTTAAAAATTTCAACGAGGATATTTAATGTCCATAATATTACAACCAAATACCCCTCAAGGAAAATAAAAATATAAATTATAAAAAAACTACTGT